AAAAAATGTAGCATATACCCATAGCATACATATGTACATATGTATGTATGTTTGTATATTTTCAAATCCAATTGAATTAGTACAAAATTTGTAGTATTACAAAACTAATCACAACAAATCACAATAGACAAGTAAAATGAAACAAAACATAGCTGAAGTAATCGGGTTTTTGTTTTTTTTTTTTATTATTTTGAAGGAAAACCTTAAAAGTGCAAGTGTCAATCACAGCAGGTGGGCAAAACAAAACACAAAAAACAAAAACAAATCAAATGATTAACAACATGAGCACATGAAAACAACTTCATCTACCAAAATAAGAATAAAAGCTGCTAATAGAGTGTGTAAAGAATTGAAAAACACAGTAAAAGCAGAAAAAAATAAAAAAAAAAAAAAAAATAAAAAATTAATAAATAAAAAAATTAAAATATAAATTACAAAAATGTATGAAAATTGAAACCCACAATGATAATGCAGAAATATGTATGTATGTACGAGAAATATGAGTAGCGTGCGTTATTGGTAAGTAAGATACATATTCCGTTACGTAACTGTAATATGGTTATTGCGTAGAGGCGTTTAGGCGCAATTCTTTAAGTGCAAATGGAATCTGATTCCATTGAAGTCAATATCAAATTATTTGCCACAGAACTAATTCACACGAGATGTAGGCGGTGAGAGAAGGTGAAGTATGAAGCTGATTACACGTTTCAATGCAATCGGCGATGAAGTGCGAATTCTTTTTTTTTATTAATTTTGTAATTAAATCTCTCACTCTAAAGAGTTTATTTCGGTAAAAATCGTATATTTTCAATCAATGTTTTTTATATAAAAAATGAATTTTATTATTCAAACTTTTTACTGTCTTAAAGACATATACATTTGAAAAAGAAGGTCTGAAATTTTCAAAAGAAAATATTTATTATTCGGCTATTGGGACGTTCGGTTCCGGTGGCAAATCGGAGAAAAGGTGCAAAGCCGTGGACAGTAGAACTCATCTCAGGATCATTCGCAGTGAAATAAATTCTGTTATACTTAATAGACAAGACATAAGTGAAATTCGGATGCCTGTCAAACTTTTTGTTTTCAAAAAATTTTGGTAAAATTTACTCAACTCAACAGTAAAAAAAAACCTGTGTTTTGTTCAACATAGATAATTCGCAACTTAATCCGCTACTTCAGCATATCCTTCACTTCTAAGCTCACTGAACACTACATAAATATTGGCCATACAAATGAAAGACTTAGGACACGAACTTCATGGGAACATGACTAAAGCGAACAAATAAATAAACGCAACACGACTGACATGATGACTGCGCGGATTTGCTAGCACTCAAGCGCTGTTTGGCACTTAAAGTGTTCTACAAATACGAATACGAAGGTGAAATAAGCTTAAATATTAAAGAGTTAAAAAAAAATATATTATGAACTAAAAAAAATAAAACAAAAAATAATATATATGTATTTGTATATATGTTATATATAAATGTGAATAATCAAAAAATATTAAAAAAAAGTAGATAAAAAATAAAAATAATTACAATTGAAAATAAAAAATAAAAAATGCAAACGAAAGACATGCAAAGCATAATTGTCTATTTGCTTAGCATCTAAATTACTTTTTTTCCATTAAGAACCGACTTTCCGCGTCTACTCAAGTATTTAGTTGACTTTCACCCCAAAGTATGGGCTTAAAGTCTACCACGCCTGCGTCTAAATGCTTGAAGATCTTAAGTTTGATGGGCGCAAAATGGAAGAAAATATTTGTAAGCTGATCACTTCTATTTTCAATTTAGGTGCTGTGAAATTTGTTTGCAAAATTACGCAAATTCTACTTAAGCGTTGCGCTTTTTGACTAAACAAATTTTTTTCAATTATTATGGCTTTTTATATTAATAACATTTATTACTTTTACTCTTCAGCGCATTTGACTCTTTTTCTTTCTTGTTGTTGACATAGCTCGTTCGCAGCAACTTTCCGCTCGGTTCTAATTTTATGTTCGCTAACAAGCCAACAATGTCCAGCGGCCATGTAATTATGTCTTTAACTTTGTTTTGGCGCTACAACTAAATGAGTGCTTGGTCGACATGCGAAATAGCTAAATGGTCAATGGCGACGGTTGGCTGCTGGCTTGCAAATCTGCTCTTTTCTACGACGCTTTTGGCTGTTGTTATTAACATGTCTTTTGGTTACTTCTTTTTCCTCCAAAGCACTGCTTGGTCTGCCTTTTTTGGCGTATTTATGTTGACAGATCTATATGGAAATGCTCTTTTTCGCCTTTTACTGTTTACTGTCATTTGCAGACCTTCTACTTCGAGGTGGCAAAGAGGCAAGCGAGCGCGCGCATGGCAGACAACATCAACTATCAACTAATTGCTCAATGTTTACAAAGGTTACTGTTGCTCAAATCGTTTATCTCTGCCCGGTTTGTGTTTTTTAAACATATGCATGTATGTTATAAGCCCAACAGCGAAACCTTAAACTAGTCAGCAAGAATACCAGTTTTCTTCTGGAATCTTTAGATTGGATCAAAACGGCTGCTAAAAGGGAGTTTAAAACAGTAAAATAAAGAAAATAATATCTCTTTATAAACGAAACAAATACCAATTTCGTGCCAAATAAACTAGTCAGATTTTTGCTCTTTTCGAACTGGTATGGGACTAGTATACATATTTCTGAATGCTATCATTGACTATAATATTGAACAAATCGAATCAGGGAAACATTATTCTGTTACAAAAAGTAAACTAGTAATCTACCCATCCATTTCGAAGTACCATGGAATAAATATAGTTGTTTAGGTTTGTACTAGTTTCAAAGTAGTCTCCAGTAAGTAATATTACTGCATGGTAATTTGCTATCAGTGGAATTTCCAAGCTGTAATTCTTCCTTGACTACTACTTGTTGCTGAAATTACTCAAACAAATTTGAAATACCCCTCATCGCTTCTTATTGTTGCTTCAGATTTGGTACTAGCGAATTCTTAAAGCAATTCATCATCACTCGGCTTTTGGTCTCAGGCAACTAAGTAAGTAAGGCAATGCTAGCTTGTGCAGATTACGAAATGAATACTACCATTTAGTGCGAGTATGTAAACTATTACAACTTAAGTAAATGATTTTTGTCTTAAATTTTGGCGTATGGTCAGTTAAATTTTTTTGTTTTTTTTGCGAAATACTTTGTTATCGAAATTTAAAATCATTGCCAACAAATAAACGCGAAGGAAGGTCATTTCAGTGGAAAATATTTTGGATTCAAAATCGAAATCGAAAATCCACTTAATTCGGGATTTACGTTTCGGAAACTGAATTTTGGCTTTTCATATTTGCGAAGTACGTCACAACAATAAATAAATATCACTTACTCATTCAGTTTATTAAGAGTTTATGAAAATGTGTCTCAATGACTCTTTTGTTGTTTAACTAACTGGCAAAATTAAAGAGTAATTAACTCGCTGGAGTGTCGCTAAAACTAGTAGGAGTATTTAATTACGAGCAATTACAAAGCGTTGCCACAGTCGTGTATGGTGTGAATGTCACTGAAGGTCAACGTCAGTAGAGCATTAAATTTGATCATATTTTTTTTATTATTCTGAGCAAAAAACAAAATTAAATTAATAAAAAATGCTATATACAATGGAAATAAAGCAAAACGAGTGTGGGATGCATGAGCATGAATAAAGTCGTTTTCTAATTAATGTTATTAAAAAAAAAAAAAAATATATATATATATATGTTAATTAAAGAACATATTTGTGACTTCTGCGAAGAATGTTATTTAAAAAGGGAAAGATAAAGCAGAACAATAATGAAAATAATATTAAATAATGTTAGTCTCTTCAACTTTTTATTATTTTTCAATTCTCAGCTCTTACTCGTTGTTTTGTGGTTTGTATAAATATACAATCAAACCACTTAAAGCCGAAACTAACAGTGAACAGAAAAAAACAACAATGAAAAAATTAAAACAAATAATGAAAACTAAATAAAAACACCCAACGCGTATTGGCATACAAGCATAAATATATATGTATGTATGTATCTGCCTCACCACCACTCACTGTTGTTGCGCGCGGACCGGCCATACAAATACACACAGAAAAAATAAATTTAAAAACAAAAAACGCACGCGAATTCTCATAAAGACTATTTAAATAAAAGTGTTGAGGCAGCAAAAGACAACGCCACCTATCAAGCCACAACAACAGCACATCGATTGCGGCGGCAGCTGCAACGTCTCATCAGAAGGACGGAATCTTGGTCAAGGTTAATGGTGAAAACTAATATCCGACAAGTGTTTGCCCGCTTTTAAAAGATATGAAGTGAGTTTAATGCGTTTGCTGTATGAAATGGAGCTACTATAGTTGCAACTGTTGTCGGCATTTTGTCAGTTCTCCAACTGCGGTTAAGTTTGTTAAAACCGCAAAGCAACAAACATATAGATATCTTATATGCTAGCATTTGTGGGATAGTTGGTGGCATTGTTGTACTCTAGTATGTACGTATATTCTTCCTAGAGTAGTATCACTGTATGCTTGCTACGACTGCCAACTTCAAATTTTGTAACAACTTTCGAAGGCGATTTTATTTTTCTTTATTTTGGTTTTATTCAATTTTTAAATTTTGTTATTTAATTTAATTAAATTTATTTATTTTATTTTACTTCATTTAATTAATGATAACTACCAGACGATTGAATTCCTACTGGGTTTAATAACAGAAGTGCCTAAGATCGCCTAAAAGTATACTTTGAATTTCATGAACGGGAATTGTGCTGCTGAAATCTTGATTCTACATTTCATTGCATACATTTAGGTGCGAAAAACAATCCACTCTACAAATTCCACACCAACCACCGATGCATACAAGCACATGTGTGCCACAAATATAAAACCACAAAAAGTCCATATATAACCAGTAAAAGTAAAAAAAAAGTAATCTGGGGCATCATATACGTGTTGTATATTTATATGTATAAATATATTTCTCATTGACACTCACCTACGCGGCTTCGGTCGCACGATTTCATGACTCGAATCGGTGATGCAGAGCGGACTCAATGCGCCGGCCAAATGTTCGACACCAATGCGACCCGGGTCCCAGCTGTGACGGCCGGGCATATCGCTTTTGGTACTGCTGTTGCTGTTATTGTTGTTGCTGACGATTTTGTTACTCCTATTGTAATTGCCAGCGTCGCTGCTGTTATTGTTGCTGTTATGCTGTGGCTTATACAGTGGTGCTGCTGATGTTGTTGTTGTAGTTGTTTTTGGCTTCACAGCAATAGCGGGACGCAAATTGTTGTAATTATTGCTGCCATTATGGCTGCTTACGTTATTGCTATTGCTACTGTTGTTGCCCGTATTGCCACTGCCACTGCCAACTGTCCGCTGCTTGCCGCTGATTGTTGTTCTTGCTGCTGGCAATGGCACTTGCTGATTGCTAGCAATACTCGTGTTGCTGTTGTTGTTGGCGTTTGCGGTTGTTGCTGGCATTCGTGCGCTGTTTGCTCCCTCGGTTGCACGTACATGTAAATATTTGTGTATGTGTGTGTGTGTCACGTACGCATGACTTGCTGCAGCTCGATTTTCTCTTGCTCTCAGTCGTGCCTTAGCCAATTGCTACTGTTTGCCGCCTCAATTTGTGATTTTTCTACGCTTTTCCACTTATTATTATTGTTTCGCGGTTTAGTTTATTAGTAAATTTGTATTTTTTCCATGCAAATGAAAGGCGCTGAAATAGAAAAAGCGAAAAAAAGAGAAATTTTAAATTATGTAAAATTAATTTTGTGGATTGATTGTATTAAGCATAGACCTTTTATTTTGAAAACAAGAAAAATCAATTGAAATATTTCAGAATTAGAACCAAGCAAAACAAATCCTCACAATCGACATCCAAAGACAATAAACACCAAAGCAAGAGAAGAAGCGAGAGTTTGATCGGCTTCAAGCTACTTCTGTGAATTGAATTGAAATTCAAGAAAATCTAGAAAAATGCCTGGACTGGTCAATCGCAAAGCCATCGTGTATCATCAGCCACCCTTCTTTGACAACCCGTTAATAATCCAATGGGAGTTGATGCCACATCCACCACAAAGTCAGAAGCTCCGTGGGCCGAACCTCGTACCTGTTCCTGTTTATAACATTGGCGGGTAAAGAATTACCTCAAGAGAGCCTGTGGAAACCGATTGCCATAATTTTTTGCCAATAGCGACGGCGGTTTCTATGAGAGAGGCACAACCTTCGAAAAAGTTAATGAGAGAAGCGGTGCGCATTCCACATAAATCGGATAATTCTGACTATGGTAAATGAAGTTTTTAATTCAATGCAAAATAATGATTGTCTGTTGTGTGAAATTGTCATTATGACATACCATAATGTTGCTGGTGTTGTATTTGTCATTTTATCATGGTGACCACTCTTCACTGATTCTCAATAAAATCCACGCAATAAAAAGATTTCTAAGGTTTACAGCCCTTTTGGGTCCGACCGCGCATCTATCGAGTTCCCTTAAATATATATACGTGTATATACGTAAATACATGTAAGCGATTTATAAGAAGAATGCGTTTAGTCGGTGCATAAGCTCGCCACAGACAAAGCCACTAAGCCAACGGCAAAATACCAAGCTGCCACATGCTGCTCATTCCTCTTCTTCCTCTTCTTATTTTTCGTCTTTTTCTTCTTTCTGTAACGTCAATAACAAAACCAATAAAAACAACAAAACGAACAAAAGCAACAAGCATCCAATTTCTAGGTAGGAACATCAATAATATCGCTTTGTAGCTGACTGCTATTGGCGCATTTATGTTGCGGCTGACGGCTGCCGGCTGTCGGCTTCTCAGTGGTGCGCGGTGGGTGCAGCAGTAAATGCCGCCTCGTAAATTTCTTATAAAATATGAAACATGAAATTAGTGGACTATTGACGACGATGTCGGCGACGACGAGGATGACCACGCCGACTAATAGCTACGATACCCATAATAGCGGGGTTCAATCAGCCGTCGCGTCGCGCACATTGCCAGCCGCACGCCGCTTAAGCTGCCTAGCTATGAGAGCCTGGCAGCGCACATTCCAACGATGGCTTCAGCTTGTTGGCGTTGCGTTGGCATTTGTGTCGTTGGTATCAGCAAAGAAAAGACAAAAAAGCAAAAAATAAATAAATTGCCTCTCGGCCGCAAGGACCTAAGAACTTAGGAGCCACATTGGTATGCAATTAATGTAGTAGTTCGCTGGAGTATTTGAGCAGGCACAGGCTCATGCACAGGCGTAGACGTATCTATGATGTGGTTAGATACTATTTGCACCACCACGAACACACTTGACGTCAGCAGCACAGCTAACCGAGCTATAACCGGTTAAGTAACCGGTTCTTCGGTTCGCTTTTTGTTTTATGCTGTGCCTACTGAACGTCAGCGCAGCGCAGCACACGTACGTAGCCGCTAGTTGTTGTCACCGTTGTTTGTTGCCTGTACGCACACATGTTGCACGTTGGCGTGCTGATGCGATGGCGCGCTGCAATGCGGCAACATTGTGTAAGCCGGCTTGCAGCCTCGTTGGCTTGTTGACTCCACGTCGTTGAGTTTATTGAAATAAATATGTATGGCACGTAGACGCGCAAAATGTGACTATCTATTTACTGCCGACAACAACAACAACAACAACAAGCACAACAGCTTGATGTAAGCCATTTGTTGTTGTTGTTGTTTGTTTGTTATAAGCTATTTTGTTAATAAATACAGCTATGCACGCTGGCGTTGCCTGTTTGTATTTATGTGCATAACATAGGTATGAGTATGTAACATGTGTGTGTATATGTGTGTGTATGTGTGCATGTGTAATTATTTTTGGTATTTTGCGCGCAAAATTACAAATCTCTTGCTGATTACTTATGTTGAATCCGCTGCGCTGGCCAACATTTCGACGTATAATCTGCGTAATTAACGAATATCACGTGAGAGTATTCGAGAAATCCGAGAAATTCGCAATATTTTTGTATTTTAAATGAGTTTATATAATAAATAGGTAATTGAAAATTAGCAGCTGGAACAAACCAGCTTGGAGCAATGCCATTGCGCAATTTTTGTTGTGGGGATTTGGGGCAAGAAAGTCATCACGTTTACATTGAAAATTGAATTTTAGTTAATAATATACTGATCAGATCAGATATTTAGTTGATGTTGATTCAAGGAAATTCATGACTGAAAATCTGAAAAATTTATGGAAATTTTAGTAACAAATTCGAATCATCGACATGCTGAGTCCATAAATATGCGAAACTAACTAAGCCAACACCTACGCTATTAATTTTAATTCTCGAAGTTAATTTAAGAAGACATTAAATGGAAATATGTTGCCTATATTTGTTCGCAAATAGCAACAATATGTGCTTAAAAACATTGCTTAGAACGGGCGGTTGAGAGCCTGATCACAAGCATTTGCACCTCAGCCTTTGACTAGGCTCGTTGTGCTCAAAAGCCTTGGTGTATGCAGCAATCAAAGAAGTATAGAACATAATTGCGTGTGTTAAAGAAAATTCCCTCGGGATATCAGCCGCCTACGAACGGCTAATGGATTTCTATGCGGAGCTTTTATCAGAAATATTGTCAGAGGTACCGCATTTGATCGAGGCAGGACTCGAACCATGGTCTTCCGAATGACAGCATGTACTGATAAACACTTTTTTGAAATATCATCGATATAAGTCCCTCTTTACTCACATAATAATTGGTTTATTTGTTATCAATGTTACTCAGTTTTTTATACAAGTGGCAACCTTTTAAATGAAAGTTCTTGATCGCAGCTCATCTTAAACTAATTTCATTTGATAAACAATTCTTAAAACTCAATTTAACAATTGCTTTTATTTGTTATGCTCTTTTATGTCTTTGGTATGATTAATCATTTCGTGAGGTTTAAATTTTATTAACGCTTGTCCCTACGATGTTGACGAGTTTTATGCAGTTTAGAAGAAAAATAACGATGTTTCGAAAATTTTTCTATTCAATTTTTTTTATTTTTGGAGTTTTACCAAATTTTAAATTTTTCAATAAACATACATCTGAATTTTGAATTGAAAATTGCTGGTAGCCCAAAATATCTTGTATCGCTATCGTTATGTTGTGCATTTCGTAGTGATCGGTAATAATCGATAATCAGTTGGCATAAAAGCAAATGAACACTACATACTTACTCATTTACATATATTTAACACAAATTGTTGCCAACATTTTCCACCACCCTTTGCACATTATTAGCTCGTAATAAATCTTGATGAAATATGGCTTAAATAGCGACAAACAGGCTGTCGTTGTCACACCAAATATGCGCATACTACTCGTCAAACATGTACAAACACACACACACACACAAAGCACACATACATACACACAAAGCAAACATACATACATATGTTCATATGTAAGCCGCGCACAGCTGTGAGGCGGCAACTAAGTAATAATATTATATATAAACAAATGTAACAAGAACAAGAACAACGATAATAGTATTTATATAATTTGATTGCTGTTTGTTATTGCTATTGTTGTTGCTGTTGTTATTGTAAGCACAACTCTCCAGACGACGTCAATAATTCAAATACCGATGACAGGCCGCCAACAACTAAGAGCACGTTATACATACATGTACATATGTACATAAATACTTAAACGTCAGCAGCAAGCGCCTCAACATTTGCCATTTGTCCACAAACACACACACACACACACATACACACCAACGCCGATTCGCAGATGGCTGTGGCAGGTGGTGACAAACCGACAATTAGCACAGCACTTAATTGCAATTAAAATGACAAATCAAATCACTTCAAATCAAAGTGGACAGCAAACAAGATAAAAATATGGGAAAATAGAATCGAAAAAAGAACGGAAGATGTAAGAAAGAAACAATATAATTATGAAAAAATAATAAAATAAGAAATCCGTATAGAAAAAAAAACAATAATAAACATTAAATTCCTTGTGCAAACAATAAAAATTGCAAAATGTCGATTATTTCACGCTTCGAGTGACAGCTGCGCTTGCATGCAGGAAATGGCTGACATTTGGCACGCAAAGTGTTCGTTCATGGGTTCCCTCTCTCCAGAGATTGTACATGTAAGTGTGTAATATTAGAAAAGATTTAACCGGCAAAAAACCGAAAGCAAAACAAGAAAATAAGTAACCAATGCGTTTAAGAAAAATGCGAAAATTAGTAAGCCTCATCAGCTTCAATTACCGCAGACCACTTTTTTCGTCCCAAATAGAATGCCGTACGCTGCATGCCTCAGCGCTCAGCGCTCAGCTTGTCGTTTAGCAAGTTAGTCAAGCCATTTAGTTGATCACTCATATTCAGTGTTTTTTACCCTTTCCCTTCTTCTTCTACTTTTTCTGTACCCTCTTTTTTTCCCCTTCTTCTTCTTCTTCTTCTTCTTCTTTAAATTGCTGGCTAATTAAAGTTTATTGCCTTTCTTTCTGCTTTTCTGCTACCTGACTCTACTTGTCATTGCATCTCTCTAATTGTTGTTGTTGTTTTTTGTTTATAGTTGTATGCATTAGAATTTAGTAGCCAAGGAAGAACGTGCTGGAATGTGTTGATTGCATTTGATCATTAGTATTTAATTGTTTTTAATGGTTGAAAGGCAGGCGCGAATGGCAGATAAGGGGTAATGAACAAGAGGAAGGAGAAGAAGAGGAAGAAGTTTCTGCTGAAGCTATTAAAATGAATGTTATG